CCTAAACCCTAAACCCTTAGCCTTAGATTCAGAAGATTCTTCGAGCTTTCAAACCTGGACCGTCTCGCAGACCCCAAGCCCCGCACCCCCCTGAAGTCGTGCTTCGCTGGAGGTGCTCCACCCGTCCATCAGCTTCATTTCTGAAGCCGCTGGCTCATGATGTGGGGGACCAGGGGGCGGTGCTCCCCCTGAAATTCCGTAATTAATCATCACATGCGTTTTTTTCTTTTTCTGACCTTGTTGGGTCATGTACAAGGGGCGAATTTTGCAAGCACCACCTACCAGCTCGGGACCTGCTGTCTCAACCCTCATTGCTAAAGCCTAAACTGCTGTAAGGCTTGACACTGCATCAACAGGCTCCTATGGAAAGGAGGTCCTGTCAAACAGAGTGAAGGCACCCACCCCCTGGGATTCAATCATCCTTGACTACGCAATCTCGGTCACTAAATCCTATAAACCCTGATAATGCTTATGTTGTGCATCTGTTTTTTAGAAGGGGTCCTGTTTGTAGTCTCCGACTCAGATGTTTCCTCAGCAATTTATACGGATCTAAACCATCAGACAAGGTGTTAAGCTACTTTGAACTGATAGCCTTTCTTAGAACACCATAGTACGGAAACCAGATAACACAACATGAAGCGAAGTATACTTAAACCCAAAACCCTAAACCCTAAACCCTAAACCCTAAACCCTAAACCCTAAACCCTAAACCCTAAACCCTAACCTACTGGACGGTAAAGGTCTATGGGCCCTGGCTCTCCACCCTGACACCTGGAACCCTCTACCCTTAAGCTGCCTTAACCAGACCCTGTAATCAGTAAACCCTAATCCCTAAACCCTAAACCCTAAACCCTAAACCCCTAAGCCTTGAATCCCTAGAAACCCGAGACTCTATAAGCTGTCATTGAGAAGCCGGTATTCTTTGAAGCCCCTTCTACATCTGCCAGCACGGCTCCTCAACTTACGAACGAAGCGCAAGCCTCAACCTACTAAGCCCCGAACCCTAAATCCGAAGAGCTCAGCCCCCAAAACTCCTAAAAAACACTGAAAACCCTAAAAACCCTAAACCCTAAAAAAGAGCCCATAAAGACAAACAAAAAAAAAAAACTAAACCTCTAAACCCTAAGCCCTAAACCCCAAGCTTCAGGTGAGGGTTTCTCTTTGGCTTCGGAGTGCAGAATCTGGGTTTCGGACTCTGGCTTCGCGGACTGTGTTCTTGGTGGCTGAATCTTTACACTTTATACCAATTTGGGATAATGAGTTTAGGGTTTCGGGTTGAGGGTAGATTTACCTCCTAGAGAACTTAAGGTGTACACTTTTTTGGGGCTTATGAAACCAGCAACTAAGTGCGCGTCTCGTGAATATGCTCTCTGCTCCGTGCTCTGCAATGCTGTGCAGAGCTATACATCAGGCTCAGTTGCGTCGCGAGTCGGCGCTCGTCCATTGCACGCGAGGAGCGCCTGGTTTCCGTGGATTTTCTGAGGCGTTGGCATAATGGAGGGACCTGACTTGCCAATTAGTAATTAATCTACAAGCAAGGCATTGAGGTCCCATAGAAAACCTTATAGCTCTAGTAACCCGTATAGAAAGTGTAGCTCTAGTAACCCGTATAGAAAGTGTTTAGCAGAACAGTTAGAGACCCAGGGCCCGTGCATGATTCCGTCTCCTGCTTCACTCTCACACAGTCAAGACTGTGGAAGACGTCCTGCCGTAAAAACCTTGAGCCTCTAAAACGCTAAACCGTACGTACATCCTCAAGCCTAAACCCCCTAAACCCCTAAACACTAAAACCTGCACAAGCCCGAAGCCCCAAACCCCGAACCCGAAAGCTAAAGCTTACTAAAGCCCCAGTGCGCAGCATCTGTTTCGATGCAGGAGTCTCGCGCAGTGCAAGTGTGGTAATCGCCTACCTCATGTTGGCCAAAGGCACGTTGTGACTTGCCAAACATGCTGCGACATGTCGGAACATTGGTAAATGTGTGTATAGTATGATGTGTATATATATATATATAAATATTTGTATATATATATATATATATAGATGTACTAACTATGTATAGCCCTAAACATATTCAGGAATCATATTCACTAATCCTGAACCCTCTAATCCCCTAGCAGATTTATGTGCTTCTCGCAAGCCTCTTCTCATCAGTTTCTGCCGCACATTCTTCTGTGGTTTTGTTTATTAACCCTAAACCCTAACCCCTAAACCCTAAATCCTAAACCCTTAAGGCTTACTCGCGTTCAGGGTCAGGAGCCGGCAGTTTGGAGCATCCTTTGCGGCTGAGAGGCTTTTGGGGGACCTTGTGGTGCTGGTGGTTGTTGTAGTTGTTGTTGCTGTAGTAGTAGTAGTAGTAGTAGTAGTAGTAGTAGTAGTAGTGGTAGAAATAGTAGTATCAGACTACAGTAACCGAAGTAGTAGCAGCAGTAGTAGTAGAAGTAGCAGTAGCAGTGTAGCGGTAGCAG